CTCCATCTGCTCGGATCTGGCTTCCTGGGGCTTCACGGTGGCAGCACTGGAGCACAGGTGGGTGTCCCCGGTCCCCACCGAATTTGGCAGCGGGGGTGGGGCTGGCAGGGCCCTGGGGGGCTGCCAGTGCCCCCGTGACACGGCTGCCCACCCTTCTGCAGGGACCATTCTGCCTCCGCGACGTATTTCTGCCCGGCGGAGGCGGGGGGAGAGGAGTGGATCCCCTACCAACGAGTGCCCCAAGGGCAGAAGGAGTTTTATTTCCGAAACAAGCAGGTACCAGGGTAGGGGGGTTAAGGGTGGGCAGCCCAGGAGGTGTGAAATCCCTCCTTGCAAGCCGAGTTGCCCCCCCCCTTCCCTCCAATCTTCATCCACTGCCCTTCCCAGACCCGTATCGTCGTGGCACTGAGCTTTCTCCTTGCGAGCTGAAAAAAAAATCTGTTCGACCCATTTCTCTCTGTTTCCTGGGGGTCTCTCTGGCTCCAGCTGACCCTGGCAGGAGCCGGGCTGGGCTTTGCTGTGTCCCTGGATGCTTAATGTCACCCGCACCCCCGGGGGAGAGAGGGGCTTTCTGCCCAGCCCGGTGCCGCCGGCTGGCGAGGCTCCGCACCGGCTGCTGGGTTTGTTCACGCTCTGATTTTTGGCTCTGGGGGATTACCCCGGACAGCTGCTTGCTGGGGGAGCAGGAAGGTTCCCCGCTGAGCCAAGTTTCCCCTTTCTTTGCTCCTTTCTGCTCTGTTTGAAAGGACAACATCGAGGCGAGAGTTGGCGTAGAAAAGCTGTTTAGGAAACTCAGTGGTTGGAGGAGTTCATGGCAGTCTTAAATCACCTCCCAGCCTCTTATTTTGGTGTGTGCTCCGTCTCATGGCATATCACACAAACAAGGGACACAGTTTTCCTCTAAAGAGGAACCCATGAGCGTAAATATTGAGGGTGAATGAGAAATGTATTATAAATAGAGGCAATTGGTTGCCAGGTTCAGCCTCAGTTGCGGCATCTTCTGTGTTAGAGGGAGCAGGGAGGAGCAGAGAGAGGTTTTCATCTGAGTTTTTTGTCACTTTTTGGGGTGGGATGGGGGGGGCCGTGCTGCCCGTGGGGGGCTTACACCGGTGGGGGTGGCATCACCCCTTGGCCGGGGGGCAGCTGGTGAGGAACCCGGGCTCTCCCTCCCCTGCACATCCCGCTCCTTCTCCCCCAGAGCAGAGGTCTTTTGCTCATCTCCAGCCGTCTGTGCTATCAGATTAACTGAATTAAAACCAAACCAAAGGAGAAACCATTGCAATAAACTCCCCACATCCCCGGGGGAGCCGCTGTGGTGCAGCCTCTCACTGGCTTCGGCGTTTGTAGTAATTCAGGGAAAGCCCCGTGGGGTCTGGATGCTGTGGATTTGGAGGGACGTGGACGGGTGGAGGTCAGGGGGAGGATCCAACCCCAAATTTGTGGGGTGGAGGAGCTGGGTTAACCGGGGAAGGGGCAACTCTCCCTCCCAGGTCCATCAGAGAGCGGAGGAATGCGTGCGAGCGCTCCGGCTCTTCGAGGACATCAACGGTGGTAAATCTGTCCAAAATGTCCTTCACCAGGACTTCGATCTCTCCACGCTGAAGGTACCTGGGTCTGTCTGTGCTGAAGGACCAGCCGGAGGGGTCGTTTGGTCGATGGAAGAGGAGGGGGGGGTCCAAGTGCCCTTTGCTGGCAGGATCAGTCCTTGTTGAGTGAGACTTTTCCTCCTGGGACAAGCAGGGTCCGTGCAGAGCCCCAACCTCCCATGTCTCACCTTCTTGGTGCCTCTCTTCTCCTTTTTCTCCCCGGGGCAGCCAAGTCCCATGGCACCGGTGGTGAAATCAGGGCACCCCTTGCTTTGCTAATCTTCTTCCATTGGCTTTTTTTCCCCCTAATTAGGGACCTTCTGCAGCGAGGTTTGGGCCCAGGCTCCTCAGCCTTCTCCTTGTTGCAGGGCAGCGTTGATCTGACCAAAGTGGCCGTCATGGGCCATTCCTTCGGTGGGGTGACAGCAGTGCTGGCCTTGGTGAAAGAGCCCAGCTTCAGGTGAGCAGCAGCAAGGATGAGGAGCCACGGGAAGCTCCAGGGACACGTGGCTCATCCTGGTGGGAAGGGAAGCCATGGGGGGGGTGGCAGCACCGGGTGTCCGTCCCCTTGCAGGTGCGCGGTGGCTCTGGACGCCTGGATGTTCCCCCTGGAGAACGCGCTCTACCCGGAGGTGCCCAAACCCGTGCTCTTCATCAACACTGAGAAGTTCCAGACGCCGGAAAGCGTTGCCAAAATGAAGAGGCTGAGCTCC